GCCACTTTCGGGGCGCCTGGCGGAGACCGTAGACTGGCCGCCGGAGGCTCCACTGGGTACCCGCAGGAAACGATCCAGTGAAGCCAGGTGGGCGGCGCAGCCAGATCACCTTGTGAAGGCTGCCCTGCAAGAAAGCTGTGGAGAAGTCGAGGGAGTGCAGCTCGTAGTCACGCTGTGCTGCAACGTGCACCAGCACCCGAAGAGTAGTCATCTTCGGGGTGGGGGAGAAGGCCTGAAAGAAGTCGACCCCCTGTCACTGGCTGAAGCATCGAGCAACGTAACGCGTCTTGAAGGCAGGCGGAGAACCCGGCGGCCGCTTCACTCTGAAAATCCACATGCCATCAACGTGCGGAAGAGAGGACGCCGGAGGCTCAAGCAGGACAACACGCTGTGAAACAGAGGAAGGACGAAGTGCCATACCGTGAGTGCGTGGGACAGCAGGAGGACAAGGACGGGCAATACAACGAGCACGAACAGGTGTGGAAGCACGAATCTCAGGCTCACGACGCTCAATCAGGGACTCAGTCACCTCAGTGTGAGGAGCAGGAGCAGGCAGCGGGGAGCCAGGCAGTAGCTGTGGCTGAGACTGGTCTGTCGGTGGACACATGAGAGGTGGAGTGAGGCCAGTGGAAGCCGGGAGACTAAGAACCTGGCGAAGGACCGAGTCAGGCGGCGGCAGTGCGGGTATTAAAACAGTCGGAGTGGGGCAGTACCAGCAGCTCCAGCTCCTCCACCACCAGCTGCAGCAACACCTCCAGCACCAGCATCTCCACTAGCACCTCCAGCTCCAGCAGCACCACGAGCTCCGGCAGCGCCAGCACCTCTAGCACCAGCAGTACCTCCAGCACCTCTAGTGCCAGCAGCTCCAGTAGCACCTCCAGCACCTCCAGCACCAGCAGCACCAGCTACTCCGGCAGCTCCAGCACCTCTAGTACGAGCACCTCAAGGACCAGCAGCTCCAGCACCTCCGGTACCTCCAGCTCCAGTGCCTCGAGCACCAACGGCACCTGCTGTACCTCCAGGTCTAGTAGGTCCAGCACCTCCAGCACCAATAGCACCTCCAGGACTAGTAGCTCCGGCACCTCCAGCACCAGCAGCACCTCCAGTACCTCCAGGACTAGCAGCTCCAGTACCTCCAGCACCAGCAGCACCTCTAGTACCTCCAGCACCAGCAGCACCTCTAGTACCTCCAGCACCAGCAGTACCTCCAGGACTAGCAGCTCATGCCCCAGCAGGACCGTACCCTCCACCACCAGGGCTGCCTCGACGAACGATTCATGCACGAATCGCCTGCGGCAAGAGCGTCTCAAGTAGGTCAGGCTGCGGTGGCTGTCCAGCTCCAGGACCTCCAGCAGGGTCAGCCACAGCTCCACCGCCACTAGGAATCGCAGGACCCCCAGAGTCAGCACCCCCAGTCGCAGCACCCCAAGAACCAGCACCCCCTGTCGCTGCACCCCCAGAACCAGCACCCCCAGTCCCAACACCCCCAGTCGCAGCACCCTCAGAACCCTCACCCTTTGTCTCAGCACCCCCAGGCTCCACACCAGCAGTCTCAGCTCCAGATTCCACAGCAGCAGGCTGCGGAGGCGGCGAAGATGGCCGAGGCGGAAAACCAGGGGGGGTATCCAAGCGTGGAGAGCGGCGAGTGGCCGCCGTGTCGTCAGCGGCGGGGTCACCCCCCTCAGTTGAGCCAGAGGAGTCAGAAGAGATCTCCAAAGGCTCAACCAAGGGGGGTGGGTCTACATGAGACACACCTGAGGGAGCAGGACCTTGTGGGGGGAGGGGGTCCACCGAGGGGGGGACTGGTACCAAGAAAAGAGGCGCTAGGGGGACCGGGTGGGACGCGTGCAGGTGTAGCCTGTAGTAACAAACAGACTCGTCAAAGGTGACGTCCTGGGAGGAGAAGACTCGACGCGAGCGCGAGTGGTAAAACTACCATGGCGGGGCGTCGGTGGGGAAGCCAAGGAAGACACAGCGGAGAGTGCGAGAGGAGAGCTTGCTCGCTTTGGCATCGCGAACAAGGGAGAGCGCGCCCCAGACCCGAAACACCGACACATTGCCAACCTTCCCCGTCCACCGGAGTCTGGGCGAGGTCTGTGGCTCAGAGACACGGGGCCAGAGGTTGAGCTGATGCGTAGTGTATCAGACCGCAAACGTCTACAGAATATGGGGAGCAGCCGCATGGATCATGGATGTACGAGCAACCTCCATGATCAAGCCAATGCGACGCTCAGCAATCCCATTTTGCTGAGGAGAGGCCGAAAGCGTGAACGACTGGCGGATGCCCTCGTCTCGACAGAACTCCGCAAGGAGGTCAGAAGAGAACGCAGCGCCCCTGTCAGAGTGCAGACGCAGGATTGGGAAGTCCTGACAAAACCGCTCGCGCAACTGGCAACGAGTAGCACGGATCTAGGGGATCAAAATGCCGCTCACGTCCGCCTTGCGCCACAAGGGGAAGACAGTGGTGTAGCGTGTGTAATCGTCAACAACTAGCAGGAAGTAGCGCTCCTGGTCCGTTCCACCGACGGGGGCCGGGCCCCACACGTCCATGTGGAGAGTCTGCAGAGGAGCAGTGGTCGGAGGAAACTCGGAGGAGTGAGGAGCGGCGCGCTGCCGCCCCTCGACGCAGGGAAGGCACGTTGGTGCAGGCACGTTGGAGGACAGCGTGTACGTTGGTGCTCACGGATCGCCAACGTGTCCTCCAGGAATGAAGGTGTCAACCCATTCATCCTGGAGAACTACGTTGCTCACTAAGTTCGTCGAGAACGCGGGGAGGTGGAGATATGAGAGAGACTCAGAGGGGACTGCCAGACACGGGAGGACAGTGGAGGCTTGTGCAACTACTGGGCCCCCAGTGGGGTCAGCCAGTGAGACCGGGACAGGTGCTGCGAGTGGTGTGACTGTGGTGCAATCATGAAAGAAGCAACGTGACGCGCTTTAGTCAAGCGTGAAAGTGTGCAAGGCCTCAGCTGAGGCAGGACCTGTGGCAGTAGATGCACTAGCACCTAGAGCGCCGGCAGACTCACGAGCACCTAGAGCTGCAACAGACTCACCGGCACCTGGAGCGGCAGCAGACTCACTACAACCGAGAGCGGCAGCCTCTACACTACCAGGGACGCAACGCTGAGAAGCACAGTCGTGAGGTCGCTGAGGCCACATAAAACCAAAACCTCCACCACCAGGACTGCCTCGCTGAATAAACCACTCACGAAGCTGTTGAGGGGTGGGGTCGTCCGGGAGAGGCAGTGACCGCTGCTGTCCACCCCTGGTCGCTGCAACTGCCGTGATAGTGGCCATGACAGGCAGTGACGGTCAGTAGTAGGTCCAGCACCTCCAGCACCAGCAGCACCTCCAGTACTCCCAGCTGCACCTCCAGCACCTCCAGCACCAGCAGCACCTCCAGCACTCCCAGCAGCACCTCCACCAGCAGCAGCTGTAGCACGAGCAGCAGCAGCAGTATTAGCAGCAGGGCGGCTCGGTGGGGCTGGGCGGCGGCACCTCCAGCACTCCCAGCAGCACCTCCACCAGCAGCAGCAGTAGCACGAGCAGCAGCAGCAGCAGTAGCTCGGGTTGGGCAGGGCGGCTTGGGCTGGGCGGCGCGGCTCGGCCTGGGCGGCGCGGGCAGCAGGGCGCGCACTGTGCAGGGCAGCAGGGCGTGACGCGCGGGCTGCAGCAGGGCGCGACGCGCGGGGCAGGAGAGCGCGACGCGCGGGCTGCAGTAGGGCGCGACGCGCGGAGCAGCAGAGCGCGACGCTCGGGCTGCAGTAGGGCGCGATTCGTAGGGCAGTAGGGCGCGACGCGCGGGCTGCAGCAGGGCGCGACGCGCTGGGCTGCAGGGCAGGGCGGTGCAGCTCGCGAGCTGCAGGGCAGGGCGGCGCGCGGGGCTAAGGGCAGGGCAGCATGATGCACGGGCTGCAGGGCAGCTGGGCGCGGGCTGCAGGGCAGGGCGGCGCGCGCTGGGCAGGGCAGCAGGGCGCGACTTGCAGGCTGCAGCAGGGCGCGACGTGCGGGGGGCAGGCAGTGCGAGTAGCTGCAGGGCAGCGCGACACTGGGCGAGCAGGGCCGGACAGCGCAAGGTCGCTTCGGACAGGAACGAGCGGAACTGTCGGTGGGCCCTAAAAACTTAACAGGTTTCCTGCTCTGAATACCATGTCAGAATAACTGTGCAGGAATGAATGAACTATGAATGAGTTGGGTACAAGTAACCCTAAAGTGATGTACCTCTTGTAGGCTAACCCACTATAGACTAGAGAGAACACAAACATATTGTTTGACAGAAGCCTTGAGGCAAGAGAGAAACAGACAACAGTAGGTATATGTGGCGCAGGTAGCCTGGAGAGCAGGTGCGTGCGGCGAGAAAGGGTGGCGGCAACGCAGTGCTCAACGGCAGCACCTGCCGCTCAACAGCAGCAGAGAGACGAGACAAACGAAGGTGGCAACAGGGGCTGCAGCAGGAGGTGCCACGGTAGCAGAGGGCGGCAGTTGCATATGCGTGGTTGCTTCGTCCGCCACTCTCTCTTACCCTCCCCCCCCACAGCTGCACGTTCGACAGTGAGAGAGAATTGGGGCAAGAAAGAGGAGTTTCACTATAGAGAGTGAAGTACAAATATGGGAGGAAAAGGGGTACACCACCAAGCAGGAAATTAGGATAACTACACTAAAGCTAGAACTACATGCAATTATAACAACATAATTCTGACACCTGGACACTCCCTTCAGTGAAAGTATTAAGGCTCTACATTTCCTTGATGCTCAAGCCACCACGTGACGCGATCCAACAATGCAACTCTAACTGCAAACTGCTTCTCAATGCTCGAGCCTCTACGAACCCCACTCAGTCCTTGGCATCAACCTTCCCAGACCCTACCTCCTTCCAGTTTTGTCAATAGCACCGTGCCTCTTGATTCGACCTGCAGCAGGACCGAAGCTGCATGGGGTCACGTAGCTACGGTCTTCCACCTGCTCTACATCTTCTCAATGCTCTAAGCCTCTAACCCCACTCAGTCCTTGGCATCGACCTTCCCAGACCCAACCTCCTTCCAGTTTGTTGACAGCACCGTGCCTTCTGATTCGACCTGCAGCAGGCAGGGTGTAAACGGGGAAGAAGAAGAAGAAAAGAAGAAGAAGAAAAGAAGAAGAAAAGAAGAAGAAAAGAAGAAGAAGAAAAGAAGAAGAAGAAAAGAAGAAGAAAAGAAGAAGAAGAAAAGAAGAAGAAAAGAAGAAGAAAAGAAGAAGAAAAGAAGAAGAAGAAAAGAACATTAAAATCAGAGTATGATAATGCACTGTGCACTGAGGTGAGCTTGGAGAGTGTCCATCCAAAGCCAGATGGCACTCACTCAAGTGAGAGCACTCACAATATGTTGCTCATGGAGAGAGACCAGGGGAATAGAGGGCGAGGGGCGAACAAAGGGCTTGATCACGGCACAGCAAAGGACCAGGGCGGTGGGAGGGGGGGAAAGGAAAGGGAAGTGGGGTAAAAGGGCGAGAGCCTGGGAGAGACCAGGGAGATGAAAGGAAAGGGAAGTGGGGAAAGGGGTGAGAGCCTGGGAGAGACCAGGGGAAATAGAGGGCGAGGGAGCGAACACAGGGCTTGATCATAGCACGGCAAAGGACCAGCGAGGGGAGGGGAGTAAGGGAGGAGAGGGGGCCAGAAGGGGGAGTAGGGGCGAGGGGCACTCACGAATGACTTGTTTGTGGTGCGGTGGGTCTCCTCGTCTGCCCCTGCATAGATGTCTTGGAATGAGCTTTAAGCCCACCATCAATACCCAGAAAGGAAGGAGAGTAGGGAGCGAGGAACACTCACAAACGACTTGTTCATGGCACAGCGGGTCTCCTCGTCTGCCCCTGCGTGGATGTCTTGAACGAGGCAAGCTGGATATGGTGGGCTCATTCCAAGACATTTATGCAGGGGGGGGGGGACTCACAAACGACTTGTTCATGGCACGGCGGGTCTCCTCGTCTGCCCCCGCGTAAATGTCTTGAAAGAGCTTGTTTAGTGCTGCGTCTCCCTCCAGCTTCTCATCCTTCTCCTGTTGATTGATATCAACACAGAGTGAGGGCAAGAGAAAGGAGGGGGGTCTGAACAGATGTCGTGCGGTTCATTTATTCAGATCCCCTTCTTCACTCCTTACAAGAGCTTGTTCAGCGCTGCATTCCCTTCGAGCTTCTCACCCTTCTCCTGGAGATTGATTTGACAAAAAAATAGAGCGAACGGAGGAAGAGCAAGAGAAGCTTCATCACGTCTCGGAAGAGCTTGTTGAGAACTGCGTCCTTGGCGTTCATTTTCACCACCGGCCGGGTTTTGAGACATCTCAAAACTAGAGCAAGCTGAAAGCTTCATCACATCTTACCTCGGCCTGCATTGACTCAGCTTACCTCGGCCTTGACTTCCGCCTCCAGCTGGTCCCAGTTCACATGTTGCTTGCGGGACGAAGGATACATGTGCTTCAGCTTCTCTGCAGTTTCTGATGGGCGGAAAAGGGGAACGGGGAAACCGGGAGAAGAGGAAAAGGAGAAACAGGGAAATGGGGAGGGAGAGGAGAGTGGAAGGGGAAATAAGTCACTGCATGGGCAATGGCAGGGAGGCAGGAGAATCCAAGGGACGAAACGGTACATGTGCTCCAGTTTGACTGGGGATTCTGTGTCGTGTGCCATGGTAACAAGGTGACTTTTGAGTCGACTCAAAAGTCACCTCGAAACGGTACATGTTCTCCAGTTTGTCTGGGGATTCTAAAAGGGGAAAAGAGGTGCGTGACCCTTTGTAAGCCACGTGTAAAAAGTGAGTTTTTGAGACGTCTCAAAAAGATAAAAGGGTACATGTGCTTCAGTTTGTCCGGGGAGGGATTCTACAAGGGGAAAAGAGGTGCGTGACCCTTTGTCCAATTCTTTCTACAACCCACAACCCCCCACCCCGTCCCAGCCTACCCCATTCCCACCCCACCCCATCCCACTCCACCTCAACACACCCCACCCCGCGCACCCCACCCCACCCCACTCCACCGAACCCCACCCACCATCAGACACATTCACGGGCTGCACCACGACTGGTGGCCTCCAGAGCCGTCCAGTGAATGGCCTCCACCTTGGCCGTCCCTACTCCCTGTCTCCCCTCCATTCGCGGTTGTCATAACCCCACAACCATCCCCCAACCCATCCCACCCCACCCAGCCGCACACCACCCACCATCGGACACGTTCACAGGCTGCACCACGGCCGGTCGTCTGGTGGCCTCCAGAGCCGTCCAGTGGATGGCCTCCGCCTTGGCCAATCGCACCTCGATCTTGGTGCTCATCAGAACGTGCTTGCTCTGTGCAGGGTCCACCTAAGGGAGGGGAAGGGGGAAAGGAGGCGGTCGGGCGGGAGGGAGGAATTGAGTGCCTCATAAGTGGATGGCCTATGCCTTCACCTTCTGCCTCCGCCTTGGCCAGCCGCACCCTGATCCTGGTGCTCATCACCACGTGCTTGCTCTGTGCAGGGTCCACCTGAAAGGGGAGAAAAGGGAGCGGGAGGAATACTGAGTGTCTCAGAAGTGGTAGGCATCTAGCCTCACCTCCTCTCTGCCTTGGCCAGCCGCACCTCCACCTTGGTGCTCATCAGCATGTGCTTGCTCTTTGCTGGGTCCACCTGGGGGATGCAGGCAGGAGGGGGAGGAATACTGAGTGTCTCAGGAGTAATGAATCCCTGCCTTGGCCAGTCGCACCTCCACCTTGGTGCTCATCAGCACGTGCTTGCTCTTTGCCGGGTTCACCTGGAGGGGGAAAAGAGAGGGGGGAAGCAGGAAGAGGGCAAGGGGAGGGGAGAAGGAAGATTGAGTGCCTCATAAGTGAATGGCCTCTGCCTTGGCCAGCCGTACCTCGATCTTGGTGCTCATGAGCTTGTGCTTGCTCTTTGCCGGGTCCACCTGAAAGGGGAGAAAGGGGAGGCAGTGAGGGAAGGAGGGGACTGAGTGCCTCATAGGTGGACGCCCTTCACGGCCTCTGGCTTCACTTTCTGCCCTGCCCTGAGCACCCTGAGGGCGTGACTTTTGGATCGACTCAAAAGTAACTTCCTGCCTTGCAGTGAGGTGTATTTTGAGGCGAAGTGTATTTTGAGGCGAGGTGTATTTTGAGGCGCCTCAAAATACACCTCCCTGAGCGCGTGACTTTTGAATCGACTCAAAAGTAACTTTCTGTCTTGCCCTGTGGGCCCTGAGCGATTTAAATACATGTGCTGAGCACTGTCAAATCAGGAAAAAAAATATTTGTACTTTCTGCTTCGTTCGCTATTTACCCCTCCTTTCTCCCCCTTCCTCCCTACCTACCCCCTCCTTTCCCCTCCCCCCTCCCCCTCTCCCTCCCCTATCTTGCTCAGAGTAGCCCAGCTCCCACCCTAACATAGTTTTTTTAGGCCACTCTGAGCAGGATAGGGGTGTGTTGGACCACCCTAACATAGTTTTCTTAGGCTCCACTCGAAACCAACCCCAACCCCTCCCAACCCCCACACTCCCTCGCAACACCCACCTTTCCAAACAGCCGCAGCTGCAGGAAATATGGCGGCTCGTCATTGGTCGACTCGATCACAACACTCAGCTGCACAGATAGCAAAAAAATGGGCATTTACAGTGGAGCGGAGAGAGGAGCAACAACACAAGGAACGTGTTTCATACAAGTGCTTGAGAGGGAAGCGTGAAACAGAGAAACCACCATTTCTGTGGGAATAACTTACCTTGGAGATGAGAAACCACCTAGTTAAGAAAAGAAACTGATTCTTTTCAAGGAGAATTGATACTCACCACTTGCTCTCCAATCTGCACTTTCAGCTGCTCCAATGCAATGCCCTTGGCGAACACTGTCACCACCACTGTTGTGGCCGACTGATAGAACTCGTGCCTGGGGGTGGAACAGCAGAGGGGAGAGAACCATCAAAGGAGGAGAGAAACCACTGGATACACACACACCACTTCCTCTCCGATCTGCACTTTCAGCTGCTCCGATGAAACGCCCTTGGCGAACACTGTCACCACCACTGTTGTGGCCGACTGATAGAACTCGTGCCTGGGAGTGGAACGAGTTGTGAGAGGCGGGGGGGGGGGAGTAGGAGGAAGGAGAGATGTGAGGGAGGTTAGGATGGAGACACGGCACAACTGTGGCCTCATGTCAGGCCTCTATATGTGATTCTACAACGGCAATTCTCTGCATGTCTGAATCCCCATATCCTCACCTATACTTAGGAGGGGGGGCTGGTGCTGGTGCTGGTGCTGGTGCTGGTGTAGAGACAGAAGCAGAGGGAGCAGGCGCAGCAGAAGCAGTGGGGGCGCTCGCAGGAGCTTCTGACGTGGATGGAGCAGCAGAGGAGGTAGGGGCGTCAACGGTCATATCTTCTTCTGTGTGAATGAAGAAGAGAAACAGTGAAGGGGTGGGGGTGAGGAACAGAGAGAACCAACATGGAAACGTGAAGGTTTCGTAACGCAAGCATATATCTGTGAGAGGTGAGAAGGAGAGGGAAGGTCACGCAGGTGGGGATAACAGAGGAATCCAAACTGAGCGATGAAAGTGGGAACCACATATATGATAGCGGAGGATACAGGCAGTGAGGGGAAGGGAGCGGAGGGGAAGGGGCAGGAGGGAGGGAGGCGAGAGGGGGCAGGAGGCACGGAGGTTCCGAAGCTGGGGAGCCAAGCTGGAGCCGTTTTGGCATTGTCCTGCTCCAGCTTGGCTCCCCAGCTTCTGCCTCAAGGTTCTCCCTCTGCGTGCCACCAAGGAGGTGCTACAAAAACCATTAAGTACCCCCCTCACGTTCACGCACCTTGGCTCTGCAGCTCTGCTTCTGCTGCCTTGCGAATGCCGTTCTGGAACTTGGCCTTACTGGGCTCTAGCTTGGCTCTCAAGCTTCTGCCTCAAGATTATCTACCCTCGGCTTGTGAAGGATGCTGAGCCACTGATTCCCCCCTCACAGCTCACGCACCTTGGCTCTGCAGCTCCGCCTCTGCCTTGCGAATGCCGTTGCGGAACTTGGCATTGCTCGGCTCCAGCTTGGCTCCCGCCTTGAACGCTGCCAGTGCCGTCTCGTATTCCTCCAGGTGGTGACAAGCGACGCTGGGGAAGAAAGCACAAAAGGGGCAAAGAGTGAGCACTTGAAGACTTCTGCTTACATACAGGGAGTTTACAAAAACGAGCAATTACAAAAAATGAACAAACTGGCTACGGGTGCACCAAAACTGAATAACCTCACAAAGGGAAACTCACACCAAAACTGAATAACCTGGCTATGGGTGCACGAAAGCCGCTCAGCAAAATGAGAACACAACGACGGCGAGGAAAGCGAGAATCAGACTAACAGGGAGACAGCAAGGATTTGCAAGCAACGCACCCTTTCCGCAGGTAGGCCAGCGCGTACGACGGGTTCAGCTTGATCGCCGCATTCGCGTCGGCCACCGCATCTGCCAGAACATAAATCAGCACAATAACAGTAAGCTTTAACGCGATACTGCCTCCGCATCGGAGTCTACGTTATTGTCTACGCAATCCCCGCATCCACCACCGCATCTAAGGCCAGAACCGAATTGAACCTGGTTTCTTTCCACACCGCCGCGATGCCAGCACATCTGCAAGAGCTAAGCAGCCGTTGCTGAATTCAGCCGTCGCGACGAAACAGTAAAAAAAAACGTGCAAGTATGGAGCACAAACTACTAATAAAGGTGACCTAATGTGTGGACGCGAGAATTACCTGTGTAATTCTCAAGCTTAATGTGCGCGGCTGCGCGTTTGCACAGAAGAGTCTCAGTCGCGCCATTCGCGCTGATCGCCTGCGTGTAGAGATCCACGGCCGCGTCGTAATCCTCGTCCACAAACTGCGCGTCGCCTTTTGCCGCAAGTTCCGCCGCCGCCTGCGGGCCACTCGGCAGCTCCTCGATTATCATGGCTGAGATATAAAATCTTCTATTTACTCTTCGGTTTAATCGCTCCGCTCCCGATGCACTAAAGCTAGTCGAATATCAGAAGCGAGGTGATGGAAAAGAAAATGGGAAGAGAGTTCCAGATAAACTTCAGCAAAAGGGACGAACAGACGGCTTCCTACATAGACGTTCGACTGGCTAAGGAGAACTCGAAAGTCCGATCAGTGAGTGGTTTTTTGAAGAAAGGAACCTCATCAGTTCTGATAATACATCCGACGCAGGGAGGGGTTCGCCATTGATTGTGCCGAATGACGGACCAAGACGTTGACGGGAATTGAAGCGTTTCCCACACGTCAACGGCAGTTGCCTCAGCTGTCAGAGTTTCGCGCCTCTGCCTTGGTTCCTATGCGCACCAATGACGAGTAGGTTTGGGAAGGTTCGCGAAACAACGATGTGTATATTATATTGGAGATGTCGATTTCGAGTAGTTGCGGAAGACAATTTGAGTACGCGCGATTAACGACTGTCTCTACAGCGAAGATTGGAGGAAGAGAAGTGAGTGGCTTCGAGGCTGCCGAGTCAGCAGGTCGTTGATCCCCCAAATTGTGGGAGTCGTCGACGTGGCGGAAATTATCTTCCCACTTTTCAACTTTCCAGCTCCCCAGTAACATCATTCGACAAATCAGACAGCCTCGATATTCAACCCAGTATGCACCTGACGCCTTTTCCGGCAGAAAGGGACTCCAAACTTCTCTCGGTATTCCCCAATGTCCGGTTCGTGCTCTGGGCTGGTTGGTTGGCTGACCCGCACCCTAGGAAACTCCATCCAGTCTTGCTGATCTATCTGCTGAATTGCAACAATATCAGAGGGATTCACAGGAATCACAGCAGCAGTGCAGCTAAAACAGCACAAGCTTCTGCTTGAACTGATTCTTTAAGAGAAGCAGACCGGCCTAAGCTTCTTACTCCTGAGCTCTCTCAGGGGGTTGCCTGGACGTTAGGGCTTGAACCTCCGAAGTTATCCGCTGAGGTTGTACGCTTCATTGGGCGGACACTTAGTGAGGCTAGCACGTGGAGATAATGGAGTGCCTGCGAGGCACATTGAGCAGCTCCTCAGCGCAACCAGTTGCACTGCAGGGCCTGCGATCCAGCAAAAAACCCTCCAAGCTCTCCGTTCTCGGACTGTCCAGTCAGCTTCCCAATGCTCTCAGGGCTCAATATGACACTTATTCTCGCTTAATGGATAAACCATTTCATAGTTCTTCCGTTAGAGCCACCGCGGTGAGAGTGACTGCAGCTGTTTCTGCAGGAAGCAAGGTGAAAGTGCGTTTCAATCTCCCGATTCAGGTTAAATTCGGGGAGAGCATCGCGGTTGTCGGATCTGCTGATTGGCTCGGGTCCTGGTCCGATCCGAAAGCTCTTCAATGGAGCGAAGCCGGCTGGAGCATTACCCTTGACGCGCCTGCAGGTCAAGACGTGGAGTTCAAATTTGTGATTGTAAAGGACGGGAAGAGCTCGGTCTGGGAGGACGGCCCCAACAGGAAGGTGACTGTTCCGGGGGTTGAACCCCGCGGCAAAGAATTCAACACCGATGTCGAATGGAACAAAACCGCTGCAACCCTGTCGTGGGAGGTTTCTAAAGAGGACAGAGCAGGATCTTCTAACGAAGCTCCAGTCGGCGGCGACTTTGGGTCTGAGAGCGAGGGGGAGTTTTCATCCGCGGAGGACGGGGAATTGGAGGAGAGTGCGTTTGCGCAGAAGTGGGCGGGAAGGGGTGTGGAGTTTATGAGGAGCAACGCGCACAAGAGCGAGAGGCGCGGCCGGTGGGACACGAGCGGGCTCGACGGGCCGGCGAAGACGCTGGTGGAGGCTGATAAGAGTGCGGGGAACTGGTGGCGCAAGGTACGAATGGATTTGTGTGTCGATTAAAGAATAAACGCTGGGACAGGAGCGCGATTGACGGGCCGGTTAAGCGCTGATGGAGGCTGATAAGAGTGCGGGGAAGTGGTGGCGCAAGGTACGAATGCCTTTGATGGTGCTGTTGAGACCAAGGTACGGATGGCACTGACGGTACGATTGACATTAATTGTATGATTCACCTCCACGATATGGTCGACGATACGGACGGTCGGATAAGCCTAATAGCGGTACGATTGATATCGTTGATACCATTATCACCAACGGACGATTGACATCGACGGTACTATAGACTCTGATGGTTCGTGTGGTTCTTACAATCGGCATTGCCGGTAAGATTGACACAGACGTTACCATTCGCACCGCCAATATGATTAATATACACTGGCCGTTTGACTGAAACCGGCGTGACGACGACTCCGACGGTACGAACGGAGCGGCACTGACGGGGTACGACTGAGATTAGCTCTTCGAAGAACAGACACTATGATTAGCTTTAAGCATATGAGTAACACCTAGAGGTTTTGCACTGGCGGGACCACGAATGACGACTTCTCGTACCGCGGGTTTTGGTATAATGTCGATTTAGATTAGCGTTATCGTTGACGAATGATTAACACGTCACCTTGCCGACTGTACGTACGTACCATGAATTTCTGAACCGCATGTCGTCTTAGCCAAATCTATGGTTGGCGGGAACGAAGAACGCTGACGTCGAGTCATTTACAAATACGTTCTGTTCGAGGAAATCGTGCCAAGAAACGCAGCCCGCGTCTTACCTCAAACCTTATCAAACCCTTCTAAATCTCTCCAACCAAACCCCTTCCCGTCATACAGCTGGAGGTAGTGGAGCAGCTTCTATTGCCGTTGGAGCGGGGTCAGCGTCTCGATGCCATGATCAATGCGTCCATCTACCTGCAGGTATGCCATGATCTACGCGTCCATCTACCTGCAGGTATGCCATGATCTACGCGTCCATCTACCTGAAGGTATGCCATGATCTACGCATCCATCTACCTGCAGGTATGCCATGATCTACGCGTCCATCTACCTGCAGGTATGCCATGATCTACACGTGCATCTACCTGCAGGTATGCCATGATCTACGCGTCCATCTACCTGCAGGTATGCCATGATCTACGCGTCCATCTACCTGCAGGTATGCCATGATCTACGCGTCCATCTACCTGCAGGTATGCCATGATCTACACGTCCATCTACCTGCAGGTATGCCATGATCTACACGTCCATCTACCTGCAGGTATGCCATGATCTACGGGTCCATCTACCTGCAGGTATGCCATGATCTACGCGTCCATCTACCTGCAGGTATGCCATGATCTACGCGTCCATCTACCTGCAGGTATTCTATGATTCGCGCTGTGCATTTTCGTTTTCTTTTTTGTTTCGGGTTTTATATTCAATTTCGACATCTATATTCCACTTTGCACACGCCCCTGCGTTTCCCCTCGCCTCACGCACCTCTACCGTTCCTCACACCTCTCCACCGCAGTGGATCAACACGGGGCAGATCCCGTGCGTGGAGGACGGCGGGCACAGGCGGCCCAATCGCCATGCGGAGATCTCCCGCCGCATCTTCCGCTGGCTCGAGAAGGAGGGCACCAGGAGCTCTGCTCTAACCTCCGAGGTGAGTGTTTCTGTTATAAGAATCCTTGCCAAGAAACCAACCAACCAACCAACCGATCGCCACGTGGAGATCTCCCGCCGCATCTTCCGCTGGCTGGAGAATGAGGGCACCAGAGGCTCTGCTCTCACGTCTGAGGTTCGTGCTGTGTGTGGGTGCCGTGTGTGGGTGCTGTGTGTGGGTGCTGTGTGCTGAACCCCCTTGCATTTTCCGCCCGAGGTGCGTCCTGCGTGCTGACCACCCCGATCCAGCCACCCTGTAACATAAACCCCGCCTTCTTCCCCTCAGGAGAAAGCTTGTTGCGCAAGCTCCATCCGCGCCTGCCTGCCTTTTCTGCGCGACCCAGTAACTCACCAGCTTCCCAACCCTCTCTCCCCCCTCTCTCTCCCCCACTCTCTCAGGAGAAGGTGGTGATGCGCAAGATCCATCCGCGCCTGCCCGCCTTCTCTGCTGACTTCACGGCGTCCGTGCCCCTCACGCGCATCCGCGACATTGCTCACCGCAACGACATCCCACACGATCTCAAGGTGCGGTGCAGTGCACACAGACTCCGTGTCAAGGTGAGGTGCAGGGTTAAAGTGCAGTAAGGGGTTGAAGGAAACTGGAGGACTGGCTGTTGCAGGGAGGCACCCAGAGAGAGAGACTGACTTCACAGCGCCGGTGCCCCTCACACGCATCCGAGACATTGGACACCGCAACGACATCCTGCACGACCTCAAGGTTTTGCGCACGCAAAACCCTACTCTCCCCTTGGCCCCAAGCACCCCTGTTGCTCGTTCCCACCCTCCGCCCTCCCACCCCACCAATTCCCTCTCTTTTCCCCCTTCAACAGCAAGAGATCAAGCACACGATTCAGAACAAGCTGCATCGCAACGCTGCTGGAGGATCTAGTGGCCACGGAGCTTCTGCTGGAGGGGGTAGCCTTCGCTCACACTCATAGCACCAGGGCTGCCGCTCCAAGTTCAACGTTTTCCCAGCACACGGTTCAGACTGCAACACACACCCTCCTCCCTTCGCTCCTCTCTTTCCCCCTTTCCCCTTCCCCCCTGTCTCCCCTCCCCCCATCTCCTCTTCCCCCGCCCCCACTTTTCCACCTCCAACAGCAAGAGATCAAGCACACGATTCAGAACAAGCTGCACCGCAACGCTGGACCCGAGGATCTAGTGGCCACAGAGCTGCTGCTGCGCCGGGTGACCCGCACCCCAGGGGAGTACAGCGAGGCGTTTGTACAGCAGCTCAAGCTGTTCTATGCTGAGCTCAAGGATTTCTTTAACGCGAGCAGGTAGGTAACGGGGAGAGCGGGATAGAGTGGTGTATACAGAGATATGTTTCTTCAGTTGGATACAGCGAGGCATTCGTGCAGCAGCTCAAGCTGTTCTACGCTGAGCTCAAGGACTCTTTCAACGCGAGCAGGTGAGTGGGAGCTTTGGGAGAGCACTTTTGAGCTTACTCAAATGGCAAC